CAAGTCCAGTTTGGCCCAATAAAAAAAAAATCAAAAACGAAAAGGATGTTAGGCCCAAATGATCACTAAACGAATGTGTTCTATATATAAATGGGCTTATATATACAGTACTCACTTTAATTAAAGGCCTATTTACACGCTTGCTGAGTGAAGAAGAAAATATTGCTCATATACGATTAAGTGAAAAATATTAGCATTACTACGAAATTAGATGAAATAATTGTCGAATGCAAACAGTTAGATTACCATAAAAAAAAAAAAAACGGATGCAATATCCATTTTTATAACTTTGTGACAGAAAACAAATAATTTTCAAACGCTAATAACTTTTTTGTTTGTTATTAATTTTGTATATATAATATATTGAATTAATCATCTTTCGACAAGGTTTGATTTGATATCTATATTGCATATAAATAATAATTTATTTTTATTATACATTAAATTATTTGTTAATACTAATTAAAATTTAATAAAAATTAATAAAATTATCTATATCGGGATTGTATATTCGGTAGGAAAATAAAAACATGAAAACTCTATATATATATATATATTATATTATATTATATATATATGTACTTATATGATATATAAATGTTTTTAGATTATAAACCAAGTATAAATCGAACTATTACAGATTATGTAAAAAAACCACAATATATACTAAAAATATATTAATTATAACCACAACATATACTGAAAAATATTTCGGCGCCTGTCTTGTACAAAAATATGCAATATATATACTAAAAATATATTAACTATAACACAACATATACTGAAAAATATTTCGGTGTCTATCTTGTACAAAAATATGCAATATATATACTAAAAATATACTAACTATAACCACAACATATACTAAAAAATATTTCGGTGTCCTTCTTCTACAAAAAAAATGCAATATATATACAAAAATATACTAATTAAAACCACAACATATACTGAAAAATATTTCAGTGTCCGTCTTGTCCAAAAAAATGCAATATATATACTAAAAATATACTAACTATAACCACAACATATACATTTCGTTGTCCGTCTTCTACAAGATGTGACACACATCGTTATGTTTTGCGCAACATATACTAAAATGCGCGCATATACTAAAATGCTCGTATTCGTTTTTTTTTTTTTTTTCCTGCCTAGGGGGTTACAAAAAAAGATTGTCAAGGCAACTAAAAACATTGCTTCTTGTTAAGAAGTTTGTTGCATATTATGCTAACACAAAATAAAAAAGTTCAATTTCAAACAAAATGTATTTTCTTCCAGCATCAAAAGCGTACCAGAATGAAAAGCAAGCTCTATTGACTATTAGAATTATGGTTAATTTTGAATTGTGAGAATTATAGCCCAATAAAGATTGCAAACTAGCTGTCATCCTTTCAGATAAAAGGCAGTTGCTTTGAGTGTTTTGTGGGTTTGGGGGTGTGAGAGAGATGAACATTGATAGTGGCGAGAAAAGGGGGTTAGTTTTGCTTTAATTTGATCAATTATCCTGCAAATATTCTGTGTTAATTGAATAAAAAATATTATTGCTTTAATGTTCCGTATAATTGCAATAAAAATAAGAAGATGTTGTCATGTTGCTAAATTTTATTATTGAAGTGTAAAATTGCAATTATTTACTTGTGGACTCGTACCCCAAGTAATTTCCTCTTAATTAAAAGGGTAGCCTAAATAGAAATTGTCAAGCCCATATTTGAGAAATAAAGACATTCCTTACTCCTTAAGAATAACTATTTTACATTAATTCTTCCGTGTGCTATTAAGACAAATTGGGGCCTTTAGTTTTCAATTTTACTCCATCTAATATTTCTATTTTATATTGAATTTATTTTATTTCAATCGTCCCATATTTATCACTTATATTCTTCTCTCTCCATTTTCTTCCCTCGATTTCTCCGCCTGTATCTTCTTCTTCTTCTTCTTCTTCTTCTTCTTCTTCTTCTTCTTCTTCTTCTTCTTCTTCTTCTTCTTCTTCTTCTTCTTCTTCTTCTTCTTCTTCTTCTTCTTCTTCT